GGTGCATAGAAAGTTTCCTTTTAAAACTATTACACGATTAAGTACTTGCTTAGAGAATGATCAGAAGCATCTGGGAAAGGTAAAAGAGAAAAATCCTCACTGGGAAAGCCAGCTTAATGCTTTGCCCTTCGGAGTGGCCCATTATCAGCATTTCATAGTGGCTTTCTTTATTTTCAGGTCCCTGAGGTATGTGCAATAAATTATGACTTGAACTAAACAAGTCACACTTGGCTCCAAAATGAAATTTTCCTACCTTACTTTGTAGTCCCCAAGGTGGGAAGAGGAAATCCTGGTCACAGCCAAAAGAAGTCATATTTTTGGCTTTAACATATATTTTCCTGCCTTTCTCAAAGCCAAGCTCTACTATGGAGACAGGAATGTCTTAAGTTAGTATTTTAAACTCTATTTAATTTTTTTTACTTCCATAATCTGTCTCAAATTAAGAAAAATAAATAGTATCATTAATTTAATATTGCCTCCTTTGTCTTACTCAAATCACTTTTCTAACACTGATCTGAGCTTCTTAAAATATGCATTTAAATGACATACATGGACTATTGTACAGATTATTTAAGAAAGAATACTTCAAAATTTTCATTTATAAATAATTTCCATTTGTTTCTATGGGATAAATTAAATATTAATGTAAAAGAACATTATAAAGGCCAGTCCTTTGAGCAGTCTTGGAAGAAAGATTTATGAAAATCTTTTAGTCTATCATCTCCTTCTATACAGAACAAGAAAAGGACAGATACTCTCTAAGACAACATCTTCTGAGTCACATCTTTATATTATCTCCCTTGAGTTAGGGTAGAATCTATGAATTGCTTCAAGCCTACTTAATATGGCAAGTATGGGGCAGTGACTCTTCGATTAGGTTATGTTGGAAAGCAAAGTGATGGGAAATTACGCTACCAATGAGGTTACATAAAATCCTATTTAGCTGATTGGTGCTAGGAAGCCTTGAAGAATTAAATTTCCAGGCTGTGAGGAAGCTTGCAAACATGATAACACTAAGGAACTTTAAGTATCTTCTAGGAGCTAAGAGCAGCTCCTGCCTGGGTTATAAAAAACCAGTCATACAAATACAAGGCACTGATTGTGCCAGTAACCTCGATGAACTTGAAAGCTCCAGATGAGAACACTGATTTATGGAACTCTGAGCAGAGGACCCACCTAAACCACATCTACACTCATGACCTATGGAGATAATAAATGTATGTGGTAATTTGTTAAATAGCAATTAAAAAACTATATAAAGAGTGGCAGCTTGTATAATCAATATAAGACACTTCCTCTATTTATTATGTTCTACTGTGTACTTAATAAAGCATTAAAATGTTATTGGAAGCCAGGTGTTGATGGCTCATGTCAGATCTGAGGATCATGTTGGAAGCCAGCCTGAGCAGATACATCAAAAGATTCCTATTTCCAGTTAACTGCAAAAAGCTGGAAGTGGAGGTGTGGCTCAAGTGGTAGAGCAATAGCCTCTGGTGAAAAAATCTTGAGTTCAAGCCCAGTACCAACAACGTGCACAAAACAAACAAACACATAAACAAAAACACTACTGGGGACTATTTCTTTTAGAAACTCTTTTGCTGACCTATGACAATAACACACAGGAATCATATTAATGTTTACTACCACTTTAATGATTATCGTTATTACCATGTCATAAAGTCTCCTGCTTATGCCTGTAATCCTGGCTACTCAGGAGGCTGAGATCTGAGGATTGTGGTTCAAAGCCAGTCAGAGCAGAAGTCCTTGAGACTCTTACCTCCAATTAAAAAGCACAAAGTAGGAGGGCTGGGAAAGTGGCTCAGTGGTAGAGCGCTTGCCTTGCATGCCTGAGGCCCTGGGTTTGATTCCTCAGCACCACATAAGCAAAAAGAAAAAAGCCAGAAGTGGCGCTGTGGCTCAAGTGGTAGAGCGCTAGCCTTGAGCTGAAGAGCTGAGGGACAGTGCCCAGGCCCAGAGTTCAGGCCCCACGACTGGACCAAAAAAAAAAATTAAAAAGCACAAAACAGGAAATAGATCTGTGGCTCAAATGGCAGAGAACCAGCTTTAAGTAAAAAAAAAGTTAAGGGAAGTTCTCTGCCACTGAATTAAAGCCCTAGTACTAGCACCAAAAAACCAAAACAAAACAAAAAAAAAAAAAAACATTACATTAAGCCCCTATCACTGATTAAAACGTCATTTATTAAACATAATGTTCCAAGACAATATTTTATTGAAAAGACAGAAAGATACTTGAGAAATTATCCTTTTCTTCAATGTATACCAACTAACAGGTTGAAAACACTGAAATATAATGGAATGAAGGCTTTGTAGCATGAGTTTGTGGGAGTAGTGGTTCAAAAGTCTTTGAGATTCTTATCTCCAATTAGCCAACAAAAAGCTGGAAGTGAAGCTGTGGCTCGGGTGGTTGAATGCTAGCATTGAGCAATAGCTCAGTAACTATGGCTTTGAGTTCAAGCCCCAGGACTAGCCCAAACTAAAATAAAACAGCTCTAACCTTTATATAAATTAATGTAAGCTAGTTTTTAAAACTTCAAGAAAATATTGTGATATAAGCATTTATTATGTTATTTTTTTTCCAAAAAATTCTTAAAATTTAAAAAAACTGTGTGAAGAGAAAATATTATATATTTTATGGGTTTTTTTCCCTTCTTTCTTTTACCCTCAAAACCATGTTTCTGGGCATTGTTATTCTATCAAACCTTATTTGTTAGTGTTCTCCTCCCTCCCCTGTGGTAGTGAACTTTCTATCATTGTGACTTGATACTTGGAATAATTTGTTTCCAAAGCAAAAACATAGCACCTCTTGGCAGGCAGACAGCACAGAGAAGGCTGGGGGGTCAGTGTCCTTCAAGGGCACATCACTAGTACGCAACTTCCTCCCATCTATTCAATGTTCCACCACCTTCCAATAGTGCCAGAGGCTGGTGACCAAACCTTTAATACATAGTCTCAACAACAATACTTTGTTTAGGATAAATTCCTTCTAGGGAACATCTTAATCTGTCATGAGAAAGACATTTTGGTGGCCTGCTCTGATCCTATTTGTCATAGTTCTGCTTATTCAAATCCCTGGAACTCAAGTGCAAAAAAGTAGCAAAATAAAGAGAGGAAAGAGCTTCTCTGCACTTCATTAATGCATAAGTTAATAACCTGGGGCCAGGGAAAATGACAAGATGTCAAAAAGCAACAGGCCCAGTGCACTCAACTTCTGTGCAATGCAACCCTCAGGCACTTGATGGTGAACACAATACAGACGTCAACTGCTTCACCAGGTAGCATTGGTCATTTTAGAATTGGGGAAGAAAATGTAGCAAAAGCCATCAAAGCCAACAGGGACTGAAGACTTTCAGAAATTATGAAGACATCTAAATGTTATAGAAGCATAGAGACTAAGTAAAGAGATACTGTTAACTAAAGGTAATGCTTACCTAAAGACTTGTATGGCCCAGGGAAATAAAAGTAAATATTTAATTTACATTTCCCATTAAAGCATTAAAACTAATCCTACTAAAATTGCTAATTTGGTTTGATACTATTGACTGAACCTTGGAGGAAGGGCCACGAGTCACTCAGTGGGTCAACTCAAGTTGTTGTCTCAGATTGGTAGAACCTTCAAATAGTCGGCTGGGAGGGAATGCCAACTGTGATGGTTAATTCTGGATGTCAGCTTCACTACTCTGAGGGAGTAGATGCTAGAGACTTGGGAAAGCATTACTTCTGAGTATGTCTGAGAAGACATTACCGGAGAAGCTGGTATGTAAGTCAACCAGCAAACTGAGGAAGGCTGCCTGCATGTGAGTAAGCACCTTCCAGGCAGAGATGGAAAAGTAAAGGGAGAAAAGGAACGACCCTCTCCCTGGCTCTTCCTCTGGAGCTGGTACTTGGGTATTGGGCTCTTGAGTTTTTTGTCTTTGGAACTCGCATGAGCAGTCCCTCTGAAAGACTCTAGGGCCTTTGGTCTTGGAAGTTGGAGCGACATAATCAAAGTTCCTAACTCTGAGGCTTCCAGTTTCTTTTTGTTCTGAGACGGGAACTTGAACTCAGTACCTGCCACTTTTGCTCACTGGCTAGTGCTCTATCAACTAAGTCAGGCCTCCAACCCCAGCTTCCAGTTTCTTGGGCTAAACCATACAATCAACTTGTAGGTGGCCACTGCAGAATTTCTTTAGTTCTGTAATTGAGTCAATCTTGAAATAATATATCTCAATTGTTTCTTTTTCTCTGGAGATCCCTGACTAATAATATAATGTCATCTTAGGTTTTAAGTAACTACTATAATTTTTTTTTCCAATATAAAATGTCTAGGAAACAAGTTGTGATAATGTGACAAAACTATTCTGGAGCCAATATTAAGTAACTGGTTTAGAAACATCTCTTCCATTGGAAGCAACAGAAAAACTAAGAAAAACAGAGCACTCTTGGGAAACCCAAAGCAGCACAAGGCTATGTCTCTAGAGATGGAATTCATTAGGTGAACAAACTCCGGTATTCTCAGCTCTCTGTTGGTATAATTTCCTGACCACAGCACATAACATTGTAGTACAGAGTGCCCTGGTCATACTGAGCTCAAGTGGAAGAGATCTAGAGCAGCTACACTTGTGAAATCTGCAACATAGAGCACTGGAGAGAAGAGAGCTAGATAAAATAACTTATCACTAAAATACCACAAAAAGCTTGATAAAACACAAATTGTGGTGCTCCACAGCCAGCATTTCTGATTCAGGAGGTTGACATGAAATACTGACAATCTGTATTTCTATAAATTCCCAGATGATACTGATGCTTCTGAACCATTCTTTGAAAATGACTTGTTAAGCAAAAGACAATGTAAGCTAAAAACAAATCTTTCCTATGAAACCTTTCTCACTCATTCAGAGATTTTAAGTAAAATATCTGAGGATACAAGAAAAATAGAAAATTAACTTCACACAAAACCAAGGACTTCCCTCATAATTAAACAGAAAGCTTAGATGGCCTACCTGTAGATCTTTCACATTTGGAAAAGGAATTCCTATGGTTATCACAGCACGGGCATTGTCATCTGAGAAATCCAGACCCTCACTCACTTTGCCACGACAAACTGCTATGAGAAGGGCTCCATCTTAAGCAACAGAAGAAAAAAAAAAAATCTTACAAGCCACACTCAAAATTCTGAGAATTTGCTTATTCTTGTCATTTCTGATGTTCATTAGGAAGTTTCAAATAAAATACAGTAAGATATCCTTTTAAACGATTATCTTAAACAAGGAAAACAAAATTACATATAATAGTAAAACAGTTGACAAACTATGCATCTCTCAGATACTTTGTAAAGTAAAATCACACCACAATACCAAACAATATAAGAACTAAGAAAATGTAAACTGAAAAAATAAAGTTTCAACCTGGTGTCCAGTGGCTCACGCCTGTAAGCCTAGCTACTTAAGAGGCTGAGATCTGAGGATTGTGGTTCAAAGTCAGCCTGTGTAGAAAAGTCTGTGAGATTCTTCTCTCCAATTAATCACAGAAAAAGCACGAAGTGGCTCACGTGGTAGAGTGCTACCCTTGAAAGGAGCTCAGAGACAGCGCCTAGTCCCAGAGTTTAAGCCCCAGGACCCCAAAAAGTAAAGAAAAGAAAAGAAAAGAAGAAAGAAATTGAGTCCTTAGTAGTGTAGAGTGTTTGTGTGGGATGGGGGAAGGGGTTGTTGTTTGTGTGGTTTCGTTAGGTATTTGAAAAAAGATCTCATTATGGAGCCCAGGTTGGCCCTCCTTCTGCTGAGTACCCCAAGTGCTGGGATTTTAAGTGTGTACCCCAACACTCAGCTCCTCATTTCTCAGTTATGTTTTGAAAGCACAAGTTTACCTTTTGAAAACATTGTAGGACAATTAACTTACTCTTTTATAATCTAAGATTGTAAACAAGTTGTGTGTGTGTGTGTGGGTGTGTCTTTACTAGGTCTTGCTTTTTGTTTGTTAAATGGAGAGAAGAGTCTTGAGGATTTTGTTTGCCCTGGCTGGCTTTGAACCTCAGATCTCAGCCTCTGGAGAAGCTAGAATTAGAGGTGTAAATCCTTGGGGCCTGATATAAAATATGCATTTTTCTTTTAGGTGCAATTTACTTACAAGATGATAACAATGAAATTCCAATAGCACCGATTTCTTGCCTTATAATAAATATATTGACCATAAAGTAATTTCTAAATACCTTTCTCTCCTTTGTACTTGATTGCATCATAGTACACCTGAAGTAGTTGATCAAAATCAGTCTTTTCTCCTCCTTGAGGTTCTACAATGACTGTTTTCATCAGTTCCAAATTCTGCCATAAACCAGTTAAAAGCCAGCGTTCTTTTAATTTTTCTAGTAACTAAAAGGGAAAAGAAAATTAATTTTTATGTTGAATAACTTTTCCTTTGTTTAAAGCTGGTTGGACCATAATGTGCCTAAGACAAACATATTAACTTTTCTGTGACTTTATTCATCTATACAATGGGCTAAGCATTATCTCACAAAGCTGTTACTGGGAAGTTTATTAACAGATCTGAAGATGTATGAATGATACCTGGCATACAGTAATAAAGAGCTACTGCTTTTACCATTATTATCACCACTAACAGTGCTGTTGCCATTATTACTATCTTCACAATAAAGATATAAAAATTTTGGGGAAAAACCAAATTCAAATTTTGGAAATGGCTGTTACAAGTGGCTCATGTCTATAATCCTACTACTTAGAAGGCTGGGAGCCAGAAAATCATGGTCTGAAGTCAGTCTGTGTAGGAAAGTCTGGAAGACGTCATCTCCAAAATAGCCAGCAAAAAGCCAGGCTGGAAACATGGCTTAACTGGTAGAGTGCCAGCTGAGCAAACAAGCAGAGCAAGCAGAAGGCCCTGAGTTCAAACCCTGGTGTTAGCAAGTAATTTAATTAATTAAATTAAAAATCAAATTCTGGAAATGAAAAGCCAAGTAAGTTTTTTTGTTGTTTAATTTATTTTAAAGATGCTGTACAGAGGGGTTAGTTACATGAGTAAGGTAATGAGTACATTTCTTGTCAAGCATTGTTACCCCCTCCTTTGTTTTTCTCCTACTATTCCTTCCCTCCCCCACTTTCCCCACTCCTCTTCCCCCACCCAAGTTGAAAAGTTCATTTCCAAAACAGTGCCTTGTGAGTATCACTATTGCAATAGGTCATCCTGTGTCCTTGTTTCAACATTTTGTTATTCCCTTTCCCTTCCCCAACTAAATAAGTTTTTAAAAATATCATTTGAAAGCCTCACTAATAGAATGGATAAAGTAGAAAACAGACATGAGGAGAAGGTAAAAAGTTAAAAAACATTTGCAATCTTTTTCTGGTTCATGCACTTGCATGACATTGTGCCTCCCTCAAACCTTGATATGACGTGGACCCATTACCCTTCTGATGTGGAAAAAAAACCACATTCGTGAACAAACACACACACACAAATTAGCACTGCACAATAATTGAGTTAACAAATTTCAGATGTATCAACAAGAATAAATCACAGACTTACAGATGTTGAGGAAAAAGAGTAAACACAGATGGAAACATACATATGACCTAACTAATACAATGTTTCAAAATGTTATTTAAGAAAAATTATGCAACTTTTTAAAATTTTCATTTTATTGTAAAGATGCTGTATAGAGGGGTTACAATTACATGACTAAATTATGTAACTTTTTAAAAACAAAATTAGTTTCTTCAGTTTTGAGAGATATGACTGGAAAAGGGCACTAAGGAGCTGTAATGCTGGAATAATGTTCTGTTTAAACAGGTGGTTGATAATCATGTCTACTTTATTATTTAAAACATTCATATTACACTGACACATATTTTACAATTGAAAAACAAAGATTAAACATTACTCAGATATTAATATTAGTATAAGGAATGTTAAGAATAGATACATTTAAGCTCCTAAGTAAAGACATCCAGAGATAGAGGTGGCCTGAATTAGTTAAGAAAAAATATGCAAAAAAGGAAAGCATAAATTTCCTAAACAGAGGAGCACACCTAAAGGTTTACGTAGGGAAATGCATTTTATTGAATTTCCTGAATTATAGTAAATTACTTAGTCTCGAGTGGAATTGCATTTTAATGTATATTTTTGTTTAGAAGAAATTCAAGTGATTTCTGTCCAGGAGAGAAGATAATCCCAAAGGTTACAGTTTATTAGCCTATAGAGTTTATTAGTCTGTGTTCATATCAGCAATCTCATATTTTATTTCTTTATTTAATGTTTATAGCTCCCTCAATGTTTTCTGTTTGCCTTACCATCATGTCATTCCCTCATAAGTCAGTGAGTTTAATAAAACTCTTTGATAAGTTGATATTTAAAAGTGAGTCAAAATTTTACCCCTTTGAAAAGTAAACAATAGAGAAATAAAGTGAATAGATTACAGATGTATTTAAAATTTTTAATAAACATGGTTGGATTGGATATTATAGGAAAAGGTGCAGACAAGTTCACAGATGCCCCATTGGTATCTGATTAACCAAATACAGATTATGGTATCATTTGTTCATACAGACAATACTGGAAAAGTGCCAAGTTTGGAAGGAAAGATTTTAAGTTGCTTTTAAGATACCCATACTGAAATGCTGATCTGGCAGTTGACTATATGGGTAAGAGGAGATTAGAATTGAATGATAAATTGCAAAACTAAGAAAAAAGATGAAAAGAATGGTATATATGTGCTCATCGGAGGGAAATTAGGAGGAGGACACAGAAACAGAGGGAAACGGGAAACCATACAACAGTGGGACCCATCAGCTGCACTGGACATTGATCAAAACAAACTAAGCAACTCAATGGCAGCGATGGGAGGGAGGGAATGAGTAGGAAAGAGGGAACAGATGATACTAAGCAAAAGGAAAGAAATGTGCATATCACCCGATTTGGAAGAAATAACTGTACTTGTCAAAGCTCATAGAACTCATAACTTTATAGACCATGATAAAGACAATTTGCCCCATGAAGGCTAGAATGCGTTTGTGATTAAGTATCACTATCCCACAATACCATGAAATTTATGTAATCACTTAATCACAATTTTAAAAATTGCAAAAAAAAAAAAAGAATGCATGTGGAGAAACTGACCAGGAGGAGAATATAAAGAAATGGATTCAGCAAGGAAAATTTCATGAAACACAGATGTACACACACATAATTATATGTATAAACATAGAAGGTAAATCGAAATAAGGGAGTATATAGGATGAGAAGGGGAAGAGAAAGAGGATGAAAGAATGTGAGTAATTTTGAGATTATAACTATATATGAAATGAGCATAAAGAATATCAATGAAAGCTGCTGATCTATGGGTGATAGAGAGGGAAGACGAAAAGAAGAAATTTGGTAGATCAAAACCATTCAGTTCATTATCATCTAACGTATCAGTATCTTTCTAAATATCTGGTTTATCTTTTGCCTCTCACCCCTGAAATAGAAGAGAATACCTAATTTTTGCCTATTTTGCTCACTATTGATTGTCTAGTACCACCATAGCACCTCACACATAAAAAATGATTGAGAAATACCGAATAAATTTAATAAATGAATAAAAAAGAAGACCCAAATCAATGAGAGGTCAAAGAAGATAATAAAAGGGAAAAAACTTGTAAAATGAGGTACAAAGTCCTTAATAAAAAATAATCAGGCAATAAAGATGAAGCCCAGAGTGATATGATTAAAACACATGAGCACAGAGACTAAAAGTTTCTACTGGTGATGCCACAAAACTTTACCTTTTCTCCCTCCCTCCTTCCTTCTCACCTGTCTCCCCCACACACAATTCCCCACACTTGCTTTTTAAAGAATATTAAGAAAGTTTAAAAAACATAACATAGTACATTCTGAGGTATTACAAGTTATGAAAGGAAAAACAAGTCAGAGCTGGAAAGGATTGACAAGGCAGTGGCATCCTCCAAGTACATCCAGATTTTAGTCCGGATGAAGTATGAGAAATAATTTGAAAGGGGGGAATTCAGTGACTAGAAGGCACTATTTATACAGACCGCAATGTGTTTATTTTAGTCTCTTCAGTGAGGATTTTGTAAAAAGCACTTTAAAAGCCCTCCACCAAGAAGTACAAGAGGCTACATGCAAATTTGGAGAGTAGTTCTACAGGAAAAGCACAATGATCATCTCAGTGAAAATGGTCTAAAGCAAATTTTCTGTTTTAGATGACATTCCCACTGCACTCAACTTACACATTTGTGCAGTTTAATTATTTCTCTATTGCCAGAGAAGTATCAGAAAGAACTAAATAACCTAAATAACTCAGCTGGTAGTTAAAGTCTATTAAGTATCTAATGCGGTACCGAAAACTCAAATAACTTCAAGGCAAACCCCTGGACAAAGAGCTGTCTCTCAGGCTTTAAGTCTTATATACTGTGAAAGCCATGAGACATGTTATAAATGGTTTTTCTCTGATAGCTGATAAAGAGTAAATATTATTCAAAGACAGAGACAAATTGACACACAGTGACAGAAATGATTTCACTTACCAATTGGTGTCCACATCACTTGGAAATTACTGCAGGGGCAATTTTTTTTTTTTAATCAGATCTCACAAATGAAAAAGACACCCTGGAATGTCTCTGTCTCATCTGGACATTGTCATTTTACTTTTTCAAACTTCTTAAAACCAGTATCTCACTAGGGAGGCAGTGAATTAGGACACAAACTCATGGGGAAATTCTGCATTTGCTCAATGTCCATAGCTTTTACCCACTTCCAGATGTTCAGTGCATTCATAACGCACTAACTCAAAGCCTCTTTTTGAAACTTTAGAAAGTGCAAATTGCATTAAGACCTCTTTGCCCTCATTAATGGTATTGTTACAATCCCTGTCCTCTGGAAAATGTTTTTTGGCATGTGTTTAACTTTATAATATTACCATTTACTCACTTTAATAGCCAGCACTCAAGTCTTAATGCTTTTAATAGTCTTGCCTCTATACACTACCATCTTCTGTAACCTTACTCACATTATATACTTCATAAATAAAACTTGTCATATTTTTCCATCGAAGGATGATTCTTATTCATTCCATGAAGCATTAATATTAATGAAATGTTTACTTTCTATTATTCATTTTAACATGTGCCATCTACACGTACTTATAGCTATACATCTATGAAATGATAATTTTAGATATAAAATGAAAAATTAGTAGTTTTAATTTTTAACAGTACTGTTTTACTGTAATACTTATATTAAAAATGGGTGTACCCTTAGGTTTTTGCTGTATTCAAACATACAAGAAGTGTTTTGTTTTTATTTCTTTAAAGAAAAAGATTAAGTTGGGTGCTGGTGGCTCACTCCTGTAATCTTAGCTACT